CAACCACTGTGTTCATTTTATTCCTTGCTCCATTTATATTAATCCAGGTGCTCTCGATGGGAACACTAAGCTGTATTTCTGCACAGAAATACATATCTTTAACATGTAGTGTGGCTCCACCTCCCTTTCTGTCCCTTCTGTTCTTCTCAAACAGGTTATAGCCTACAGCTGTTGAATTCCTGTCATGGGAGTCGTCCCACCAAGGTCCTGTTACACTTGTCAGGTCACATTTGCCCTTCTGTACTGAGAGGTCAAGGTCATGCTCTTCGTTTCCCACACGCTGGGCATTAGTGTAAAGACATCAGAGAACATGTTCTTTATACTCTAGCTTTCTCTGTACCCTTTTTGGAAGACTGTTAACGGGGACTATTAGAGCTGCTTTCCCTGTTGCGGCAGCTTAGGCTGAGAGTGCGTGAGCGGCCAAAGCCACCCAGGGAGCTTCATGGCCAAGTGAGGACTAAAACCAGTCCTCGCCCAGCACTCTGCCCGCGGCGCTGTGCTGGGTGTCACGGCAGTTCTGGAAAGTGTTGTACTTCAGATCCAGGACTGCGGAGCTCCGTCACCTGAGCGGCTTATGAAGCAGCCACTGGCCTGTGTCACGGCACCTGCCCGTGCAACGGCCCTTGTGACGGGGCTGTTGCAGGCATGCCGCCAGACGCTCCCACAGCATGTGCAGAAGGGTGGCGGCAGGGCGGCACGTGTGCAGGGGACACAGTGGCCCCTCTGTCAGTGGCGGGATTTGCACCGTGAGCAAGTCTGGTCGCCGCCTGGGTTGGGTGGGGTTGAGAGGCAGCTGCAGTGCAGGGGCAGCAGGGCGGCTCAGCAGAAACGGTGCTGCTGTTGGCTGCATCTGAGCTCAGGTGATGCCTTATTTTTTCATGCGCAACAATCTGCATGTATTCAAATACAGCCGTGCCATCTTCTTCTGGAACATTGTCTTAGCTCTCCAAACCCCGAATTGTATCGCAACGGATGTACTAAATGCATCCGTCTGGCTGAAGATCTTAACTGGGGCATATTTTTGGGGTAGGGCTTATATTACAAGCATTCTGAAAAATCATGCTAGGGCTTATTTTCAGGGAAACAGGGTAGCTGCAGCAGCAGTGAAGAGTGTCTTCTAACACTGTAGCTAAAATATGATCTTTCTCTCTTACATTACTATCTAGAGGGATTTCCTCCTGGGTGCAATTCTACCTCCGCTCAAGGGAATTATTTGGAGGCCATAAACCTCTCCTTCAACGGTGAGTGTGGGTGGTTCTGGCACTCAGCATCCAGCGTCTCTCCTTCATTGAGTCCTGAAGGTCAAAGTGGCTGAAGGCCAGGTGGTTTGTGAGCGCATGTGAGAAGGCTGGTGGGTTTTAAGAGGCCTCGGAAAACTCGCTTTTCTCGTACCAGAACTGGAGTCAGCCGGTCCATTGAACCTGTCCTGCCTTTGGAGGTGCTGGAATGGCTGCACCACGCGGACATGAGCCGCTTGTTTTCCTCTGGTGGCAACGGGCAAACCAACTTTCTCCATTGAATTCTGTTTCTTGTTGTACAAGCTCCTGAGTATTCACCAAGCACACCAGCTGCATCCTGTCTGCTGTCCATCAGCCAAAGTTTCCCCTGTGAGCCCCTCCTTGTGTCAGGCCAGGAAGGGGAGCACTGCGGAAGTGTGCCCGCCGGCGCCTCTCCCCCTGTCGCCTCTCCCCGAGTGGGCTTTGCGCCAACTTTGGCGCAGGCGAGTGGGTGCGGGTTCCGCATCAGCTGTTTCAGCAGCCTGCCCTGTGGGTGGGGCCGCAACAGCACCTTGCTTTGGCTCCGGCTGCTCTGAGGCTACTTCCCTTCCTACATCCGCCCGGGTGGCGGCAGCTCTTCGGCTCCCCCCCAGGAGAGTCGCGGTGATGGCTCCAGCCCCCTTGGCAACTCTTGCCCAGCCTTGAGACTGCAAGGCTCTTCCTGAGGATGGGCCTCCTGGTGAGCCACCTCCCGGCCCTCCTCAGAACCTCCCTCCCCAGGAGAACAGGCCCTGAGCGCCTTGCCTGCGCACAGCACACGCTCCGCATGGGGTGCTTTTGGAGTGAGGCCAGCTGCTCCGGCCTGCTGCAGCCACACAGTTGATCATATCTGGTTGCTGTGAGCCTGAGATGGCCTTGTTGTGACAGTCCAACTGGTACCAGTTTGCTTCTGGACATTTTCAGGGTGCTGACGATGGCAGGCGCAGCTCACACTGGGAAGGGCTTGGGACCAGGTTCTCTTCTCCAGTGTGGGCCTGTTCAGCCTTTGTGATCTGGAGGAGAGGCGTTTCTCTGTGCCCTGCCTCACAGAGTCCACCTGGTGGGGATGTGAGCAAAAGGAGCCCCCCCCCCCCGCAATGGGCCTGCAGCCCTTTCCCGGGGGGGGGGGGTCACTGGACCCATTTCTCTTGTTCAGGCAGGGTTTTGACCTGCTGAGTTGATTGGTTTACTTGCTGCTGATTCGCTGTCCTTGTTTTGATCTGTTTTTGATATGAGTAGGTTTATTTTAACTATACATTTAGCAGCTTCAAACACGTAATGCAGAAAAGTGGGATGACCATTTAAAATAAGAAGCAAACAGGAAATAATTGTTGAGGACATACAGGGGAAAGTCATCAGGAGAGACTACTGGCCTCGTCTGCGGGCTCAGAAAGGTGGGACATCCCGCCAGGGCTGCTCGGTAGTGCTGGGCAAGCCTGTGCGCATCAATGAGAAGGGCTTTCTTGGCGGGGGATGTCATGACGGGCAGTCGTTGTGGTTGAGACAGCAAGGAAGTTGCTGCTGCCTCTAAGCCATGGTCATTGATTTTGGCCTTTGTCTGTTTAGTGTTTGACAAACATTACATTAATCGAAACTTTGACCGTACGGGCCAGATGTCAGTAGTCATCACACCTGGAGTGGGTGTCTTTGAAGTGGATCGGCTGCTCATGATCCTCACCAAACAACGCATGATAGATAACGGTAAGATGGTTTTGGGAACAGCCTGCAGTACCTCGGTGTGCCTTCCTTTCCTGTGCTCTTCCTCACATCACCTCCACTGGAGTCAGGGTGGACATGCAGCTTTGCAGAAGTGGTTGTGCCAGCTTTGGCCCTGCTGAGAGTTTTCCCTGAAGGTCATGGAAGTGGGAATTGCTGTATGAAGGGGCCCCCTGCCAGTGCAGCTCACATGGCTTCCCATGACTCCACCAAAGCCACTTGCACACAGGTGCTACCTGGGAAGGCCTCCCCTCTCCATCTTCAGGGCACCTTCCAAACACAGAGGTGGCCTGCTTTCAGGGATGAAGAGAAACGTGAGCCAGACTGGAGGCCTCCCTAGTCCAGCGTCATGTCCCCGCAAAGGCAACGGAATGCCTCTGGAAGTCCACTGCTGGGCAGGTGTGTGGCAGGCCACATCTCCCTCCCGCTCAGCAGCCAGCAGGCAGAGGCACGTGGCCTGTAAACCAGGCAGGAGAGCTGGTCTACTAGCCATGGAGACCTTCTCCTCCAGATGCCGAGCGTGGAGGCGGAGGGTCTGGGACCCTGGAAATTTTTTTGTCTCCATTGCTTTGAAAAGTGTGTGATGTTTGATGTTGTCAGCAAGGCCAAGGAAGGGAGCTGTTTCCTGCAGGGGAGGAATGGCATGCCTGAACATTCTCCACCCCCCAGCAACAACTCCTCAAGTTTTTCCAGCACCATCTGCTGCTGCTTGTCTACAGTGAAGGGCTTTGCCTGCTTGTTGGCCTGCAGAGGAGAAACTGTTTCTACATCAGAAAAGCATCTTTTTGCATGTCAGGTTTACACCGGCTTCCAGTGCAGTTGCAGAACCTCCACTGGTGGCGGAGTGCAGTTTGCTTTCCTACCTGCACTCTGTCCTGCCTGAGTAGCTATAAGCCGTGCCAGGCAATTCCTTGGTGCGGTGGGTGAAGCACCCTCAACTCAAAGGACTTTGAACAGATCTGTCAGCAACTGACCTGTCGCTGGCCATTACAACTTCTCTCCCCATCTCCTCCCTCTTCCAATCCCTCCCCCCTCCCCCCGGATTTGCTTCCCTACGTAGGGATTGGGGTAGACCTGGTGTGCCTGGGAGAGCAGCCACTCCATGCTGTGCCTCTCTTTAAGGTAAGGTGCTGATTTGCATGTCTTTCTCCACTGAACACATGTGCACATAACTGCTGAAGCACCGGAAAACTTGCTTGTTTCCTTGATGCACCTTTGCTTCTGAACTTTTTCCAAAATAATAATTATGAAGTCTTGGGGACTAGGAACCAACAATCCCTGGACTGCCAATTCTGTGGCCAGTACCCTTGAATTTCCACAAGGCAGTACAAGCTCGCAAAAGAAGTACTGCTTAACCTTGCGCATTTTCGATCTCACAGCTGCACAATCGCTGCAGTCCTGGAGATTCTCGCTTGGGGGATGACTACAATATACCCCACTGGATAAATCACAGGTACGTGCTCGAGGTCAGGACTCTCTCTGCTGTGGCTCTTGCATGGCATGCCCCGCATTGGGCCATCTAACACGGGCCCCTTTCCCTCTCCAACTTCAGTGCTCGAGCACAAGCCCAGGGACAGCACAGCTCTCTCCCTGTTGGAAACAGCGCCCTCGCCCTCCACAGCAGCCCTCTGCTTTTGCCTGGCCCCTTCTACTGCAGCGAAGGGCTGCAAGTTTATTCTTGCAGCCTAAAAAATGGGAAGAGGAGAAAGACTCTTGAGTGTGCTTGGAAAGGGGCTCTTTATAGCCCCGTTCTTGGTGCACCTGTGCTCCACAGGTGCTCCTGTGGTCCTGGGGCCACTGGAAGGCACACAGCTGATTTCTAGCCCCAGCCTGTTCAGTGGTTAGCGCTGTTGTGTGAGATGTCTTTGCAGCTTGGAGAAGAGCATGCTGTGGGAATACTCCATGGCAGAGCCTCTATCCTGCATGCGGGGGGTCACCATCCGGCTCCCCAGCATCTCCGGGTGGGCTAGGAAAGGAAGCCTGGAAGCTGGGGGTGCTGCTGCTGTCAGTTACAGCGGGACTTGATAGGCTTGTGGTCTGAGCTGAGCTGTGCTGCTCTGGAATTCAAGTTAAACTAACTGGTTTAAGATCAGCCCTACAACAGGTGGTCTAAAATGGAACTGGGCAGCCCCTTGCTATGATCTGACTATTCCCTTCCCGTGCCACCAGCTGGTTCTTCTTTCCTGGAGTGAACATGCTGGTTGCGCATCAGCTCTGAAAAGCCCTTCCTAAAATGTTGCCTCTCTGCCCCCCTCTCCTCCAGTTTCTACACCTCCAAAAGCCAGCTCCAGTGTAGCAGCTTCACTCCTCGGATCAAACTGGCGACCCGAAAAGTAAGTGGACTGCTGAAGGGCCTTTTCTTTGGCCCTCCCCTCCCTCTACCCTGGTGGGCTGCTGCACTGATCCAATGCGAGCAGCAAGCTCAATTTTTATTCACTAACTTTGCTTGATTTATGGAATTTTTAGTCTGTAAAAAGAAGTCATGATGCAACAGAGGAAAACAGCACCCAGTCCTCTTCTTCAGCATACTAAAAGGGTTGTTTGGAAGGTCTCTGTGGGTTCCCTCTCTAGAGCAATGCAGGGACTGTTCTGGAGGTCAAGCTGACCTGTGTTTCTGGTGCTTTCTCTCTCCCCCCCCCACCCCCTTTTTGCAACTTGAATTCCAGCCACAGAGTGAAAAAGCAAAAAGTAGCAAGGATTCTTGTGAGTAATCCTTTCTGATTTGTATTGTCTATTAGAGGGAGCAAATGAAGACCTTATATGGTTGTGATATTGGAAGAAAGCAACTGTTGTGCAAAGAATCAAGGAGGTGGCTTGGGGGGAAGGCAGCACAGGCGAAGACGTGGGCGGGGTGCTGGGCCAGTGTTGCAATGTGGAGCTCAGCTGAAGCCTCAGGCTCTTCCAGCTCTTTTCTTTTCCTGTGTGACCAGAAAGAGGAATAAATCAGAATTCATTTCACCTTAGCAGATGCTTGGTTTGTCATTAGGTATGGACCAGGATTCCTGGTTTCAAAGGCAGTCTAACTGATTCCTAAAGAAGCTGCCAAGCACAAAGCATCAATTGTTTTTCTGGTTTCTTAATTGAACACCCCCCCCCCCCATCATGGGGTCTACCTCGTCTTAGATATTCATTCCCATAGTTTCTCAGGGACCTTCTGCAGCTGGAGAAGGTGGTCACCCACACTGTACAACCCATCTAATTCTCCACACAGTGTTAAGAACATAAGGAGAGCCTTTTGGGATCAGATGAAGGCTCCATCTCGCCCACCAAACAGTGGCCAAAGAGCTGCCTGCAACAAGTCCGCACGTTGAGCATGGGTGCTATAGCTCCTGTTGCCCATCAACACATGCATGCCGGCACACCACTTCTAATGCTGGGGGCAGCAGTCAGCACTAGTAGCTGTTGATCGCCTCCGTCTCCATAAATTTGTCTAATCCCCCTTTAAAGCTATCCAAATTGGTGGCCATCACTGCCTCCTGTGGTAGCCAGCTCCACAGCTTAACTGTGTGCTGTCCTCAGTCAGCTAAAAAAACTTCCTTTAGAGGGAGGTCTGCTCACTCTAGAACTGGAAGCAACTGATGTGCCCAAGGGCCCGAACCCCGCAGTTGAGGAGCGCTTCGGCCATTGCCCTGGCCAGTCTTCTCCCCCTCCTTCCAAGCAGATCGCAGCAGCAAAGGGGTTTGGCCCGGAAGGCCTTGTCGTAGTAAAGCTGGTGTGAGAGCAGTGCAGCAGTGGAACCCATGGCCTCGGCAGGGGCCGGCTGTCCTGCACCGGAGGCATCCAAGAGGCAGCTGGGCAGCCGTCGGTGAGGTGGACATGCTAGGCTGGCTTTGTGACACACATTCACAAAGTATTGCAGAAGTCAGTAACAAAAGGCACAGTTATCGCTAGCTTCCCAGTGTGGCTTCCAAACTGAATTCCAAACCTAAATGTGGCCCTGCTCCTCGTGGGCCAATTGCTGGAACATCTGGCACTTGACAGGTAGTCCCCCCCTGACCTGAGGCCATGGGATCAGCCTGATGATCTGGGGTCTGTCCCCTCGCATAGCAGCCAGCTCTCGAGATTTTTCCTCAGAGGTGGAAACTGTCCAGTGGCCTTGGCAATTCAGCTGGGATTCCAGCCGCTCGTCTCTGTCCCTGAATCAGAATCTGAGAGGTGGCGGCAGCCTTTCTTCACTGTAATTGCATGGCAGCGTTATGTTCCAGCTTTGGGAGCCCCTAAAGAAACAGAGAACGCTCTCCCTATTCAAGTGGATTATGATGCGTACGATGCCCAAGTTTTCCGTCTGCCTGGACCGTCCAGAGGCCAACGTTGTACCGCCTTCAGGTGAACAAGCTTGTGCTGTGAGGGAGATAGGTGAGGTGACGTGCAGGTTGACGTGGGCCAAGCTGAAACGGCCTTTGCAGTTCCACACGCGCATCTTTTCCCAGGGGCAGCCCTTTGTCTCCTGGGCTGCACCGGGTCTCCTTCCTGGCCTCTGCCCCATCTCACCCACACCTGGTGGCTTGCTGTTGGTCCTGGTCCCTGCCCCATTCCACCCACCCGCTGGCCTTGCTGCGCGAGCAAACGCGAGACGGTGTTGCGAGTTCCCACTGGCACTGCCTGAGGTTGGGGCTGGCAGCTCTCATGCAAGAGCACTGCTCCCTGCCTGGCAAGGGCGTCCAGAGGCTGCGGCGGTGACGTCTGTGATTGTGGGTTGTTCTGATCAAGTTAATTCGAGCAAACCAGGATCAAACCTCCCAGCTTATTGTTAATTAACTGGCCAGAATGAACTGCCATTCCACAAGTTCAGGATTGTTCTTTCGTTGTGAGGGAGTGAGCAGATGGGCTATGTGTTCACTTGAACTAGGCCATTGGATTCTCATGTCTTAAAATGTATAATGATTCCAGTGAAATTAGAAGCTTTTGAATTTTAAAAATCAATGATTTTGTTTTCGTTTCATGCAGTGTTTTAGTCGATGTGATGTAGTGGTTGAGAATGCGGGTTAGGACTCAAGGGATCCAGGCTCTTGTCCCGCTCAGCCATGGAGCGCACTGGGTCACTTTGGGCCAGTCATAGCCTCTCAGCCCAACCTACCTCACAGGGTTGTGGTTGGGGGATAAGATTGAGAGGAGGAGGAGGATGTAAGCCACTTTGAGTGCCTTGTAAAAAAAGGCAGGCTATAAATAAGTACGATAAGTTGCATGTTAACAGTTCAATAGAGGACAGGCACCAGGCCTCTGCAGCAAGGTTTGCAGCTGGGCCCTTTCACTCTGTGGATCCCCCAACAGGTCTGTGCGGGAGAGAGAGAGTCGCCCTCGGAAAAGCTCCAGCTCCTACGACGTCTCCTCCAGCCCTTCACTGCAGGGCCGGCCCTTGCCCCTGGAGGAGGTGAGGAGCCAGGTGTCCGACGACGGCTCCTTGGGCAAGGTCTCCAGCATCCTGATGATCCCGCGCCCGCACCCACACCACGAAGTCAGCAGCTCTCTGGGCTACATGAGCACACGAGGTCAAGCAGGGGCCTGGGGGAGACTCGCATGCCTGGCTGTACTGCACATTTTATGAAAGCTTATTAAACATGCCTGCCAACCAGACAAAACTCCTGCAGATTACTATAAATTCCCTGTAACGGGATGCTGCAAATGCATCTTTCTATCTGGTTGGCCTTCACAAGCATCATGAATGAAGACTCACCCACCCCACACAACGGGACAGGAACAAAATCCTGTTTCCAAAGACTTAAAACCAGACTTGCCTGCCACGTTTGCTAATCTGGGGATGTTCTACTTGTGTCCCAAACCCAGTGACATCTTCTTACTGTTCTAGTGGCAGGATGCAGAGGTGGTAGCAGTCCACGTACTTCCAGTGGCCTGTGTTGTCACCTCCTCCTTTTCCATGCTTTTCTCCCACATACCAAAGCTTTCATAAAATCATAGATTAGTCAAGGTGGAAGGGGCCAGGGTGGCCATCAGGTCCACCACCTGCCCAGTGCAGGACTCCAAGTTAGACTGTCCCTCTCAGGTGGCTGTCCGGTTGCATCTTGAAGGCCTTTAGTGTGGGAGAGCCCACCATCTGCTCGGGTCATTAGTTTCATTGTCATAATGCTCCAGCAGTCACGATGTTCTTCCTGATGCTCAGCCTGAAGTTACTTCCTGTAACTTGAGCCTGTTGTTCTGTGTCTGGGATGATCAAGAGGACATTCTGGGCTTCTTCTGTATGACAACCTTTCAAATGCTTGTAGAGTGCCATCATATCTCCCTGTGGACTTCTCTTCTGAAGGCTAAACATGTCCAGTTCTTTCCATCTCTCTTCATGGGGATTTTCTTACCATTTTGCTATCCATACTAAGTTGCTGAATCCCCATTTCTTTCCTGTGTGTGTGTTTTTTTAATACAGATGTATCCAAAGAAGGCTTTTTTGTTGCTTCTAGCATCCCTCACTAGCCTCAGCTCATTCCTTGCTTTAGCCTTCCTGATGCCTTCCCTGAAATTCCATGCTACCAGTTTGTATTCTTCCTTTGTAGCCTGGCCTTCCATCCCCTTCCTACACATGTCCTTTTCTGATTTCAGATCATCTCTAAGCTTGTTGCAAAGCCACATGGGCTTCTTGTGTTGTCTTCAATCCTTTTTCCTTGTTGGAATTGCTTGTGACAATCTTTTCTGAATTTATTAAAATCGGCTGTCCTAAAATCCAGGGTACCTGTCTGGCTACACTTGATGATTGGTTCAAGAATTTAGTTTGTCATGCTCACAAGTATTACTTCCAAATCACGAGAAGTCGTAGTTCCTCTATACTCCTCACTACTCAGACCTTATCTGGATTACTGTGTCCATTTCTGGGCACCAAGATTTAAGAAAGATGCAGGTAAATTAGAAAGGGTCTGGAGGAGGGCAACAAAAATGATCCAGGGTTTGGGGTGACTGCCTGTGAGGAGAGCCTGAGGGAACTGGGCATGTTCAGCCTTGAGAAGAGAAGACTGAGGGGGCACATGATATCCCTCCATAAATACCTCAAAGGCTGTCACAAGGAGGAAGGTCAAGATCTCCTCTCACTGATACCAGAGTGTAATCAAGTCAAGTTGTGACAATCCAGGTTCAGGTTAGATATCAGGAAAAGCTTCCTCATGGTCAGAGCTATATGATAGTGGAGCCAGCTGCCTGGAGAGGTGGGGGGCGCTCTCACACTAGACATATTCAAAAAGAAACTGGGCAGCCCTCTGAGTGGGGTGGTGTGACTTGGTGTCCTGCAACAGCAGGGGGCTGGACCCAATGGCCTTCATGGCCCCTTCCAACTCTAGTATTATGTGGTTCTTTGTTAGGGATTGCTTGGAGGGGCTTTATACCCTAGCTTTCTTAGCGCATTTTTTGAAGACTTTTATTGGGCACTCTTAGAGCTACTCTCTCTGATGTGGTACGTAAGCCTTTGTCTGCTATTATTTCCAGGTGTGCTTTTCCCTCTTCGATAGGATTCAGTTCAAAGGTCTCCTGATAGAGTTCTTCATGCTGTGGCCAAACACCTTTCTAGTCCTTGCAAGGTTCAGCAGTCCATCTTTTAGGAAGTGTAACCTGTGGGCCTAGAATCTGACTCTCGCATCGGCACCACCTTCATAGCTGGGCACTCACCTAAAACTTCAAAGTCTGACATGATTTCTTCATAGCACTGCTTGTTCGGTGTTGCACGGGACGACTTGCAGTTCTTCCACGACAGGCTGCCCTCCGGTCTCACCCTCAAGTCGCTGGAAGCCGTTCCATCCAGTGGTGTGGAGTGTCTTCCGGTTCTTCTGCACCTCACTGTCACCCTTTCCCAGGCAGCTCCCTCTCCACTTGCCCTGCCCTCAGAATTCTCCTCTTCTGCCTCAGCTTGCTTCCAGCTGTGCTACTGCTCTTAGCTGTTGCAGGTCCACTGCTGCGTCTAAAACCTCTTCCCCTTCTTTTATTACCTTGAGGGTGGACACTCGCTGCTCCAGTGCTCTCGCCTTTTCCTCTAGCAGGGCTACTAATTGGTGCTTGAGGTGCATGAAGGCCATGCTGCCCTCAGGCAGGAAGACAAACACTGCCCAGACATTGCAGGTCAGCACTCCTGGGAGTCTTCTCGGTCCATTCTTGCCGCTGCCTTTTCGGTTCTAGCTTGGTGGGCCTGCTGTAACACCCAGTGCTTCCCCCTGCCTTCACTGAAGGTTAACAGCACATTCCTGCCAGTAACAGGGAAGGAAACCGGGGTGGGGGGAACTAAGAGGTGAAAAAGGGTAAACAAGTTAGTGACCTCCCCTTGACCTTCCCCACTGCCAAACTCTTCCGGGTTGCTTGCTCCCTGGGAGCTTGGCTGCTTGTATCCCAGAGGCCTGGACCAGCTGGGGCAGCTTTCCCTGGTCTCCTCAGCCAGGAGTCAGGGACCAGAACTGCTCCTAATCCCAGCACGCCTCACTGCCTTCCCACTCAGCACCTGCCCTTTCAAGGTTTCTCACAAGGACGGTGCAGCTGCTCGTGGCCTCAGTTCATGGCTGCCTTTCTGCAGTTTTCCACTTAGCTTGGTACCCTTTTCATAACACCTGCAGCAGTCAGCCTGTGTAGCTGACGTCCTACTTTTCTGCCCCTCTTGCTAAATTATGTAAAGGGATCAGCTGCACTGAGGGTTCCCTTGGGAGCTCCACAGATGTGCCATGGAAGTTCCCGGGCCCTTTGCCGGCGGCTCTGCAGTCTTTCAGTAACTCTTTGGGGCCCTTCCTTGAGAAGGTTCCCCTTGAAGCCCAGGGTGTGCCACTCTTAGGGAAGGGACTGGGCTTGAATACAGGGAGGCTCAGCCTCAGTTTGGACACTTTCTGAGGATCAGGTCCTGAAGGCCTCACTGGGTGGCAAAGTGCTAAAGATGATAAAGTTCTTAAAAAGACACATATCAACCTCATTCTCAGCAGCAACAGTAACTAGAACTTTTCTATATCCCGTTTTCTACAAACCAAAATGTCTAACTTCAGCACTTGGCACTCTGTGCTCTGCTCGCAGGGGGCAAGGCGTTTGGGGGCCCAAGCCAGAAGACCCAGTTCACAGCCATGGTCTTCCCTTGTTTAATGGGACACAGCCCCCTCGGGAGCTCTTCTGTACGCGTCTTGGAGAATCCTCCTCTTTGGGTGGGCCTGTGTGAGGCAGCCACGGCATCCTGTCTCCCAGTAGGGGCAGCTCTCGTGGAAGGCAAGACCTTCCCAGTTGAGGCACAGTTTTTGTTTCACAGATGCCCTGGAGAACGTGTTGGAGTCTCAGCAGCGTGACTCCAGTGCGCCTGGAAGATTCCATGTTGGCAGTGCTGAATCCATGCTGCACAGCCGTTCTGCCGGGGGATACCCACCACAGCGAGCCCTCATCAACCCTTTTGCTCCCTCCCGGATGCCCATGAAACTCACCTCCAACCGGAGGCGCTGGATGCACACATTCCCCGTAGGTAAGGAATTCCTTGTCTGTCCTTGTTGAGCATTGCTGCTCCCTATCTCTGACTGTCGAGGGTCTTTTTAGTAGGCATCTTTTAAACGATTACTTATTTTCAATAATTTCCTTTTTGGACCTTCTGTCATTCCGGGCTATTGCACATGTGTGGGTCTTGGAGACAGGTCAGTTAGGTTTGCCTCTGTGCTTCTTTTGGTGCCTCGCACCCTGTGGGGCCTAATGCCAGGTTTTTTAAACACAGGCCCCCAGGTTGATCCCTTCAAAGGGTCTCAGGCAGCTGGGGTGGCAGCGGCCTCCCTCTGCCTGAGGCCTGACAGCTGCTCCTAGTGGGCTTGACTTTTCAGCAGTGATGGACCAAGCACTGAACAGGGAAACTGACTCTTTCCCACAGTGAAGGAACTCCTCTCAGTTGGCCTGCAGGTGTGCAGCGGGCTGCCTGGCTGACGCCTCTTTCCCATCTGCTCAGATCGCCTGCCCAAGTTCACTTGGTCTCTGGGGTGCCAGGGCCTCGGCAGGCAGAGCAATGGGCGTAACTGTGGGTGGTCAATTCCAAAACAGGGCATGCCACACCTGTCCCAAACCACCCTCACACCGGTCTTTCCTACGGACACAAGAAGCCCCCTGCTGGATCAGGCTTCTCCATCCCCATTCCGCTCCTGCAGTGGCCCGCTGGCAGGACAGGAGCACGCGAGGGCTTGGCAGCAGCGGGCAGTCACATGCAGCCGACAGGCCTGCTGGCAGTGGAGAGCTGCTCCTCCATGACTTTGCCCTGTCCCCTTTTAAAGCCACCCCCCATAAAGCTCCGGGTGACCCCACTTGGTGGCTTCTTGCACATGTTAAATAGCACGGGGATAAGAGGGGCCCCTGAGGATCCAGGGGCCACCCAGTGTTCCTCAAGCTCCTCCTCTTGGGGCTGGCCACCTGCCAGGCCCAGGGCGGAGGCAGTAGGCAGCCGTGGGCAGGACGCAGGGTGGAGGGTTTGCCTGTGCTTCAGAGGGCTGGTAGCAGAAGGGGAGTCTGCAAACAGTCTGACGCCAGAAACCAGCAAGGCAGCAGGGCCCAGGCAGAGGTGCAGTCCAAGTACAGGCCAAGGTCCTGGGGGGGCAGCCATGAGCAGGGCATGGGCAGGCGGAACGGGGGGCGGGTACCTGGTTGGGGGGGTTGGGCTGGAGGTGAACGGTGGGCAGGCAGGACACGGCAAGGCTGGAAGCCAGAGCACAGAGGCGCCACCACAAGGGCCCGCGTGGCGTGGCAAAAAGGAACTGCGCGAGGGAGCCTGCTGCGGAGCGCTCCGGGGCTTCCGGCCGCACTGCGCGATTGCTCCCTGCGAGCGCCTGCAGCGTGTTCCTGGTCCGGCAAGCGCTTGCCAGGCAGATCCGGACACCTCCCCAGGAGCAGCGGAACCATGGCAGTGCAGCCCCCTTGACTGCCAGCCCAGGCAGTCGCCCCAGGAGGGTGCTGCGCTCAGTGGAGTACGAACGTGCGGAGGGATCCAGGGGTACTGCGAAGGCTGCCTCTGCCCGACACGCGCCTTCACGCTGGGCCACCAAAGCTCTGCCTGACTGCCGTGGACCCAGACAATCTGCCTCACGCCAGAGTGCCTAGAGTTGGTTGCCCCCTCCCCATGGAAGCCCTGCCCAGGAAGGGAACACTTGCCATCGGCCTAAGGTTGTCCGGATCTTCCAGATCCGGGGAGGGCTGTTTCAGGGGAGGTCTCCCCGCTGCCTCTTCCTGACGGCATGGGAGCCCTCCCCCCTCAAGGAGGTGCTGTGCGTCCCGCTGGCCCTGCTGGCTGCTCCCACCCAGCCAGCTCTGCTCAGCCAAGTGGGCAAGCATCGAGCTTGGGTGTGGTTGCACAGACCTGTCCCAGCTCCTTTCAGGCCTGCCTTAGGGAGCAGCGCCCAATTGTTGAGTTACGTGCAAAGAAAGCCCTTTAAAATGCCTCCTGGAAGGAAGGAAGGAAGGAAGGAAGGAAGGAAGGAAGGAAGGAAGGAAGGAAGGAAGGAAGGATATGGAAACACTGGAGCTCTGCATCGCTGTTCACGGATAGCCGTGCGAAACCCTGGATTCAGGGCCGGCCTGCCCCTACCTTTTGCTGGAGGGCATTTGCTTCCGTGCTGGTTGGCCCACTTGTGCCCTTGTGGTAGGAAAGGTTGTCAGGGTGGGTGGCAAAAGAGGAGAAGAACAGCAAAGGGCAGGGCGAATGCTGATGGAGGCCATGTGCTTGGGCAGGTCCTTCCGGAGAAGCCATTCAAATCCATCACCAGACTCGCCAGAACATGGTGGAGATGCAGGACAGTGGGCAGAGGGACTGGACTCGCTCCTCGGCTGACCTCCTGGAGCTCGCCTACCACGAAGCGGCTGGCAGGTGAGGCTCTCTGCAGTGGCTGCACCGAGACACTTCGTCGCTGCAGGAACGGGGCTGGCCCCCCGAAGGTGCCTGCTGGCTCTTTTCCACACCGTGGCTGAACCAGGGTCACCCTCATGGCTCAGCCGCCCACACCTGTGCAGTCCTTGTTGCAAGGCCGCCCCCACGGTGCCCTGACTAGAACGATCCGTTGCTGCCTGTCCTGCGCTTGGAAGCTGTCTGGGCTGCCATTCCCTTTCAGTGTGCTTTAGATTTGGACGCTCCTTGGTGGAGCTCTGGTTACTTTGTGAGCACTTAGCAGATGCTCTGAGTAGAGCTATTTAAGATGCTGACCTGGCACTGAGCAGACCTTGGCATGATTCTGGCAATGGATGAACCCGCCGTTAACTGCCCTCGACCTGCAGGACGGGCCAGATTGATTGCGTCGAGAGGTCAGTCCCTGGAGGTCCATCTTTCCACGTTCTCAATGATTTTCCTACCTACCCTCAGTGCAGTGGATGATAAGCAAAATTGTATTATTTATTTATTTTATTTAAAACATTTCTATGCCGCCCCCATCGCAACAAAGCCTTGGGGTGGCTCACAACACTGTGTTGTGACTGTGTTCCTGGGAGCACTGAGCCCTGCCTGCAGAGGCGGCTTGGTGTTGCATCCGTCAGGGGCCGCTGCCTTGAGGGCTGCAACGCTGACCTTCCAGTCAGAGTCAAGAATGTCTCTCTACGGCATGGGTCCTCAAACTTTACGGCCTGCCATGCCCATTTGGACCCGCTGTGTGCGCGTCCACACCTGCCGCCACCCACCTTGCCCCCCACGCAGAAAGGCAGCGGTTTGCTCGCCCGAAGAAAAGGATCTGCAAGTGAGCAAGCTGCTGCCTCGTGCACCCGCCTCCCCTTGCCTCAGCACACGCCCGCATGCCCACCCACCCCAGCCCACGCACACCGCCAGCACCACTTTTCTGGCCAGCGGCCGGCACCGGCACCTTTCAATTGGCCCCCTGGTGGAAAAGTTTGCTTTATGGGATGCCCCGTCAATTAGCTTCTCCCTGTAGTGAGTCCTTTTTGCTCATGCATGGTTTAAAAGCAAAACCTTTTCTGCAGTGGTGATCTTAGCAGGTTCACATGCCTTAGACATTTTGGAAACATGGTACTAAATGCAGGCACCATTTCAAAAACATACTAAAAATATTTGAGCATTATAAAAATGTTGTTGTGTTCTTTCTACCTCTGGTATTAACAAATTTGCAAAGGTGCGATGCACTTCCTCCATTTGCTGTTCCACCTTCACTGCCTCTTATGCCCAGATTGCTGTCTTTTCAAGCATTTGTTTAGCTACCTCTCATTCTTCCTGGAGAATGGTCTTGTAGACTTACCTTTCACCCTCTTGATTTTGATTTCCTGCTATTCTCTTGCATCTGCCCAGTTTAGGTTCTATTAAGAGACTGAGGGGAGAGAGTCATTGCCTGCATTTCTAAAATGAGTGAAAATCCCTTCTTTCTTCTCCCCAGGCATGGAGTTTCTCGGCACCCCGGTGACAGCACTTCCTTCCTGAGCTTCAGCGGGACGGAGGAGGGCCCTCCCCAGCTGCATGGCAGCCACAGCACAGGTGAGAATGGTGGTCTTTGAGGAGGGCTGTACTGACTGCAGTGTCACTTCCCCATTGTCTTGCCCCCTCCACAAACCACGCGTGGCTTTGGATGCTTTTAGTTAGCATGGCAGAACCGAATCGATGAACCTTCGAACAGCTTTTAGGATTTCTTGGGCATCGCAAGCTGGTGGCCCTGGCAGGGTTGATAGCAAACTGTGTGCCAGCTGGTCTCTTGCTGCTTCCAGACCCTCTTCTCTTCTGTGCGGAGAAGATGCACACATCAGTGTTCCTCATTCCTGAGGACTGTTTGGATCGGGACTGCTAGTGGAGCGGTCCTGGTGTTCCCCACTGATGCCCTGGTGCTCCCCTTCCCCCGCATGTCCCCGTGAGTGTGGGGAGGCCTTGGCCTTGGCCATTCCTGAATGCAGGTTTGAGCATCTCTCCTGGGACTTGTCATCCTCTTGCCACTTGGGAAATGGGTCCTCCTCATGCAGGGACTCTAAGCTTACAGCAAAGGTTTGTCTCCACTTCTTGCAGGAGCAAGTGTCCGAAACCAAAGCAAGGACTCCACGGAAAGCACTGTTTCTAGCTCACTGGATCCGAGTAAGCTCAGTGGTGATGGGGTTGGGAGGAGGGGAGTTTGTGGAGAGATGGGCAGAAGGAAGCGAGGCTCCTTCCGGCAGCCAGGCTCCCACGCAGTGAGCTCCTCTCTCTCTGAAGCGGGGAGCGTTGTCACGGGGCGCTGCTTTCGTGTGGAAGTGAGGTGAGGCTCCCGGGCCAGGGCTCTGATCCTGCTGCCCCGAGCACTGTGGAATGCTTGTGGGGAAGGGGCGTCTCAGCCAGGGCAGAGGCCGCCAGGTGTCTGGCTTGCACCGGAATGCAGCATTCCTGGGTGCACGGGGGCTCGCCTGTCGGAGCGCACGAGCCCTGGGGGACTGTTGCAACAGGAGGCCGCGGCTCCATGCCAGGCGGTCCTCCTGCCGCCAAAACTAACCCCGTGAATTGGCAAGGCAGGTGAGGACCTGGCTGCGTGGAAAGGCTTGCCTTCTGTGTTTGCCAAGGTGGAAGGGAAAGCTGAAAGGGGGCATGACTGGAAGAAATGGTGCAGGTCAGGGCAGTTGGACGAGGCACAGTGGAATTCCTTGGCATAGGCACACAGTAAACTTGCCTCCCGCTGAAGCCAGGCCTAGAGGAAGTCAGGTGCTGCATGCACCAGGAAGTGGTAATGGGGCTGGTCTGGGGCAGGCCGTTTGGACTGAGGGGTGTCAACGTGTCATCAGGGATGCTGGCCTTGATATATAAGGCTGTAATATGTCTGGCAAGGCTGTTTTATCTTCTTGAGTACCTCAGTTTTAGAAGATTAGTTAGACTGCAAATTTTAAGCCCCTAGATACAAAAAACAAAAACAAACTTCAGGTAACATGCTTCATTTTAGAGAAGGCACCTTCCCCCTTCTCTCTTAGGCGCAGCATGTTCAGGAAGCCAAACATGCTTTCATGTTCAGAAATGCTGAATGCTTAGTGGCCAGATCCATGCAGATTGCATCTGCTTAGTTAGTAGGTTAATCCTCATGTGATCAACTGAGGCGCATTTGACTGGGAGAGCCTCACGTAGCAGTCCGGGGGATCGTTGTCTGATGAAGGACAGCCACCGAGTGGAGCCTTCCTTGGGTCAGAAGTGGATCTGAGTGCCCTCAGTGAGCGCCCTGGCGCTCCCTGTGGAACTGGCCTCTCGCTCTCATATCCAGTCTCTTGCCCAGTCTCTATGCAAGAGGAAGCCAACGTCCTGAGAGCGCCCCCGCCAGCAGCCTGGCATAAGTGCCAGGGCAGAGAAGGCCTGCTCTTCCTGTGCGACCAGAGACCAGGGTCAGGAAGGACCTCGCCAGGGCCCCTCCTCTTGGGCACTGCACATGAATTGGATGTGCCAGTGCCAGAAGGCTGGCTTCGAAAAGCAAAGAGGCAATGTTGCACAACAGGTCGGAATATTTACTGATCAGACGCATACAACATTGTGTAAGTTCTGGGAGACCTGGACAGACTGGACGGTTTTTGAGTGCAGTGTTGAAAGCCTGCATGTCACCAAAGTTGCAAGCCTTTCCTAGACCTCTTCCAAAAGTGTAGTTCTGGGTGTTTCCAGGAAGCCTGCAGCCGGTCTCCAAACCATGTAGAACTCCATAAACCATTATTGTTTCTTTACATTCTCTCTAAATGAAATAAACCTTCACCAAATGATTTTGTGACGGCACCCCCAGCTTCTGGCCTTTTCTACCAACATTGAGCAGACTTTTCCATTGAGCTACCAGGAATCCAGGCCCTTTTTTCTGGCTAGTCATCTCTGCTGGTTCAAAGCCAGCGGTGTCTATATGAAGCAAAGATCTCTGCTCTGAAGAGCATCACTTGATGCTTACTTAGTGTCATCTAAGAAATGTTATAATAATAATAATAATAATAATAATAATAATAATCTGTAAACCTGGCCGTTTCCCTGCTTGCCCACTCCATGTAGGCAAGTTGCAAGAAATTTATTTACTTTCTTTTATGCCACACTTCAGACAGAAAGGTAGCCTGACGTCTAAGAGGTCATCAGCATAGCTAACAAGCTGTTTCAAGGAAGCCATTAGAGAGAGGAAAGCTTCTCTCAGAAATGCAAGTCTTGCTCAAATAAAGTAGACAAAAGGGAGCAGAAGCTTCTACCAGGGAGACAAAAGGGACGGTAGAGTTGCAGAAAAAGCATTTTGAGGAGTGAACACCATCAAGGCAACCAGTAGAGAATTCTTTAAATATATCAGAAGCAAGAAACCAGCTGGAGGGGCAATTGAACCACTGAATGATAATAGCATTACAGGAGTATAAAGGAGGAGAAGGTGATTGCAGAGAAGCTCAATCAGCAGAGGATTCACAGGATATGGCAGCGGGTACAGGACAGGTGCCTGTTCCTGAATTGAGGTATTCCAGGTGGGAGACTGAGTGACCAAGGTGGGTACTGATAATACAAAGGGGACATTCTCAACCTTATTGACAAATCACCAGGCCCAAGTGGCGCTTGCCCTAGAGTTCTTGAGGAGCTCGAATATGCAGTTGCTGATCTTCTTACAGAAATATCTAACATGTCCTCAATATGAGCTCCTATATCAGAGGCCCGGAGAATGTCCAGTGTTCCAACCAATTTTTTAAAAAAGGAATTCAAGGGGATTATAGGCTAGTTAGCTTAACACTAGTTCCAGGTAAATTGGTCAGTAAGCATAGAGAGGGATAGGCCTGGCTGAAAAAGAATCAACGTGTCTCCTTTAAGGTAAGCCTTGTCCCACTTACCTTTTGGTTTTTTGGGGAGTGTCAATGAACATGCTGAAAAGGTGCGTCTGCAGGTATTGTTTACTTGTACTTCCAAAAGACTTTTGACAGAGTCCTTCATCAGAGATTCCTGAGCAAACTTGTCAATCGTGGATTAAGAGGGGAGGTCCTCTTACGGATCAGTAAATGATTAAAGTAGAGAGTGGAAATACATAGTCATTTCTTCCAGTGAATGGATCTCAATAGTAGGATCTCACGGGGTTCTGTATTAAGACCAATGCTTTTCAACCTATTCATAAATGATCTGGAATTAAGAGTGGGAAGTGAAGTGGCCAATTTTGCTCGGAAGGGGTGGGTAAAAGACAAAGGGGAGTGTATTTTAGAGCGTGTGACGAATGCCTTTGCTAGTGGTGTGAGGGCAGCCAACCCAAGGACAGTTTGCCGGCTAGACAGGCGTGGTTTGGCCTTCAGGCAGCAAGAGTCCTGCCTTGCCCCCTTAGCAGGCCGCCAGGGCCCCCCGGGGTGCCTGCCACCTTGGCCCCTTGGCCCTGCGCCTCTAACGCCAGGCGGAGGGGCCAGGTTTGCAGTGTCGGGCCCGACCCTCAGCAGCCCTTTCACGGGAGTGCCCCTCCTGCATCAGCCAGCCCCCTCGGACGGTGCAGAATGCCCCGGCACCCCCATGGGGAGGATGGGAGCTTCCGCCGCTCTCGTGTGCAGCTGCTGGGATCCAGCGGGTGCCCGTCTGAGCCCCTGCCCTGTGCTTCAGGACTGCGGCCCCTCCAGCACGGCCCTCCTCCCTTTTGCTCCACCCCATTTTGCCTCCCCCGCTGAGCGCCCCCCCTCCAGTGTTCTCGCTCCGGCTCTGAGACTGTTGCGCGCGCCCCTTTCTGCTGCAGCCGGTTTTGCAGCAGGCGCTTTCTGGCCCTCCCGCTGCGCCCGGCCCCTCACCTCTTCCTCCGCCTCTTACGTGGGGTGAAGACTGGACTTAATTCTCTGGTTGGGGCTTGTAATGTTGCTTCTGGCCTGTGTATTAGTTCCTTCCAGTGCGCTTACTAGTGGTGTAAATTCTGCCGCTGTATTGGCTTTGGTTTAAAATCAATGAACAGTAGAACCATATTAACTTTTAATATCCCAATTGCATGATGGGAGTGAGTTGGCATGGGCATCGCATTGTTTAACAGACTGTCTTTCTTCCCCCCTTCCCCCCTTCCCTCTCCTCCGCTCTTCCCTTTCCTCCACTCCTGCCCCACATGCATCCTCTTTTCTTGCCCCTCCCTTTGCTTCCCCCCTTCCCCCCTTCCCCCTCCTCCTCCCTTCCCTTTCCTCCACCCCTGCCCCCCCTGCCTCCTCTTTTCTTGCCCCTCCCTTTGCTTCCCCCGCGTTCCCCCCCCCCCCCCCGCTTCGCTTCCTCCCCCTCCCCCTCTTTCCTCACTCTGGATTTATTCTCGCCCCCGCCCTGCTCACCCTCCGCCCCCTCTGTGGTGAAACGGGGCAGTTCTGACGCTGTCTGCTCCCCCCGTAGTGCCAGGCTTCTGTTGTACGGTTGGGGTGGACTGGAAGTCCCTCACCACCCCGGCATGCCTCCCCCTCACCACGGATTACTTCCCGGACCGCCAGAGCCTGCAGAATGACTACACCGAGGGCTGCTACGACCTGCTTCCCGAGGCTGATCTGGACCGGTGAGCCCCTCCAGCACAGGGAGAGCGCCTGGCACAGCCTCTCCCCTGCCCCCGCCCCCACTGCGCGATGCCCTCCTCGCGCGGGGCATTTTGCGAAGCAGCAGCGGCAGCGTGAGCCCCAAGGAGCCGAGCACCTGGAGGGGGGGAGCAGGGGCCGAGCAGCTGCCAAGGAGGTCCCTGTGCAGCTGAGCTTGGCGAAGCGACGGGGGCCCGAGGAGGGTGCCTGGTTGGCCTGGGGGCGCTCCAGCATCGGGAGTGAGAGAGAGTCAGGCTGGCCTTTGGGCAGCAGAGGAGAGGAGCGGGTGCCTGTGCGGCTGGAGCCAGCTCACGGGTGTCAAGGGGGGGTGGCGGAGTGGGGCCTTCGGGGCCCTTGGATGCCGAGCGCAGGCAGGCACCTGCGGCCGGCGGGGGGGGGCAGGACCAGCGACCGCATCTCCCTGGGCCAGCAGCTTGTTCCTGTCTCTTGCTCTGAGGCAGGCAGCCGCCGGCGTGGGAGAGGAAGGGCAGCAGATGCAACGGCTGGCACGCTCATGGCCTACGCTGGGGGAACCTCTGCTGGCTGGTGGCAGCAGCCATGAGAATCAGGTTGTCAGAGGAGGTCTTCTGAGGCCCTGGGAAGGCTGCAGCAGGCACAGCTTGGGGGTGCAGGAGCACGCCAGCTGCCCGTCTGGAGGGCCGGTTGACTCCCCGTTCCACGGCCGAGCAGAGATAGTGCCCAGGCTCAAGCACAGGTCTCTGCCAAGCCCCGTGTGCCGTGCCACAGACGCTCCCAGATAACTGGGCATGGCGTGGCGGACTTGGGACACCTCTCCTTGGAGCAGCAACGCGGCGGCTCCTTTGAGTGGCTTTCCTGCGGTGACCCCATCTCCCCTCCCCTCCCCAGGAGGGACGAGGAGGCTGTGCAGATGACGGCCCAGCAGGTGTTCGAGGAGTTCATCTGTCAGCGACTCATGCAGGGCTACCAGCTCATCGTGCAGAGCAAGCCGCAGAAGCCCGTCACCGCCGCTGCCCAGCCCCCTCTCAGCAGCAGCCCCCTGTACAGCCGAGGTGAGCGGGCGCAACAGTCCCCTGTGCCTCCCTTCGGTGGCGGCATCTGAACGGGGCTGCCTGCCGTGCCCGCTGATCGCGCGGCCTGGCTGCCTGATGCTGCCCCAGGCTCTGGGCACATTAGCCGCAAAGAGGCGGGAGAGGGCGCATTCCTGGCAGGATGGGTATTTCACGCACGGGGCTGGAACGGGGCTGTGATCGCCATGCTGGGGAGGGTGCTGTGTCGGGGTTAGTGCTCCTCCAAGGCAAGGCAGCCCCATGCCAAGTAGGTGGCTCGGACCGCAGGACGCCAGCTGGCCTGGAACCCTCATCACTGATGTGGCAGGCTGTGCTTTTGCTTTTGTAGCAGAGAGCGAGCAGGGCAAATGGGCGCCGCCTGCGGTGGGCCCGTCCGTCGGCTTCCCGGCCGCTGCACGTGTTGCCTGTGCTCGGACCCGCCTGCTGCCACGCGTGCGGCTGATGTCTCCGAGGCCATGTGCCGCTGCCGTGCTCTTGCGAGGCTGCCGCAGTTAGTGCAGGAGAGCGGCTTAGTGCGTTTGCACCTCCCGCGTGGACGGGTCCGAATTCTGGCACCTGAGGAGGCCCCCGCTTCACCTGAGGAGAGGCGGTCCAGGGTCTGGCCAGCAGCTTTGCAGAGAGCACTGGGGAGCAGCTCCCGGTGCTCAGCACACAGAAGGGCTTCCCTGGACAGGTGCTCAGGGGCGCTGTTTGTGCGTCCTGCGACCAGGCCTCGTGTCACGCAGCCGGCCTGAGGAGGAAGATCAGTACTGGCTGAGCATGGGCCGCACCTTCCACAAAGTGGCCCTGAAGGACAAGATCATCACCGTCACTCGGTACCTGCCTAAGTGAGTGCCCCTTGAGGTGTTTTGCCGGCCGAGAGTGGGCTGGTGTGCCCAGCGTGCGTCTCCCATCCTCTCGCACATGCAGTCTTTGCCCCGGAGGCGGTCGCTTCCGCAGCCCGGCAGGCCACAGGGTGCCGATGGGGCTGGGCTCCCTCCTGCCATGTGTTGTGCTTTTCTGGTTTCGATGCTGTGGTTCTGAGTCATAAGGCCCTCCCTGAACGTTTCAGGTATCCATATGAATCTGCCCAGATCACCTACACTTACAGCCTGTGCCCTTCCCACTCTGACTCAGAGTTTGTCTCCTGCTGGGTGGAGTTCTCCCACGAGAGGTTAGAGGAGTATAAGTGGAATTACCTGGACCAGTATATCTGCTCTGCAGGTTCGGAGGACTTCAGGTGAGTGGCTCACTGCGCCCTGTGCACTGGCACTTCTCCGCACTGCCTTGCGGACTCGCGTCCTCGCCTGTGAACGTGTGACCCCCGCTGCAACCGGTCCACCTGGCCAGGGTGCCCGGCTGTTCCCACTGTGAGCGGAGTGGGCATTGCAGGAGGAGTGAAAACAACTTGTTCTTCGTGCCTGACAAGAAGGCCCCGCGGTGGAAAAATTCCGGGGCTCTATTAACAGGCCTCAGTAGCAACGTGATGGAGTCTGAAATGGGGCACCCTTCCAAGGGGCCCTCCCTTGCTCGCTGCTGGATGCAACAGAGGGGCCAGGCGGGCGCCCGTCGTGTCGGAGCGGAACCGAGAGCGCCGGAAACGGCAGGCTGTCGTGGTGGCGCGATGCAGCATCGAACGGGGCGTCTCCTTGGGCCATGTGCCTGCCTTTACCACACCTCACTGCTGAGATGGGACTCATTCAAGTAATGACTGGAAACGTATGGGCTGTTTCCCCAGCATGGCAGGGGAAACCGTTGCCTGTCTGCTTCATCTTGGCACTCATCCATGGGGAATGATATTCCTCTTCTGTATCTTTCTGAGTACCTTAAGAAACAGAGTGGATTAAGAAAATGGGAGACCCAAGCTGCTCCCTGCTTGGCTGCTTGGGGTCCGTCTGCAACACGCCTGCCCGGCTTGGGAGGGCGAGCCATGAGCGATGGCTCCTCTGCTGGCACAGACAGGGCAGAGAGTGGCCTCACACTCTGTGCTGCAGACTTGCCAGCCACCACACACCTGTGGCGAGCAAGAATCCCCTCCAGGCAACCAGTCAGGGAAGCATGTGTTGCTCCTTCTAGGCTACAAATGACCAGGGCAGGTCCATGTGGACCAGGAGTTAAGCAGTGGTACTTACTGCGCGCATTTTGCAGCTCTCGCACAGCGCGAGTGCCGCAGGAAGCGAGTGCAACCCAGGAGAGGAGGTCAAGCAACCACTTTTGCAGCAGGACAAGCCCCAGAGCCCCCAGAGGATGCTGCACCACCATTTTCTCCTCTGGCCAATTTCCTGGCTTGTGCTCGCTTCCCACTGCTTAGTGCTGGCAAACTGCCAGCACCAGCTAACACCCTGAAATGGAGTGGCTTTGGTGAAGTTGGCATCGGGCAGCACATCTGCGTTCGTTCCGCAGGACTGTGCTGCAGCTGACCGTTTCCCCTTCTCCCCGGCCCTCCACCCTTCCCCTGCGCAGCCTCATCGAGTCACTGAAATTCTGGAGGACCCGTTTCCTGCTGCTGCCCGCCTGCATCAGTGCCACAAAGCGCATCATGGAGGGCGAAGCACACTGCGACGTGTACGGAGGCAAGGCGCGCTCGGACGAGGAGGAGTGGCAGCTCCTGGACGGTTTCATCCGCTTCGTGGAAGGGCTGAACCGCATCCGCAGGCGCCACCGATCGGACCGGATGATCCGGGTGAGCCCCCGCCTGGACACCGTGCTCCGCATCTGGGAGCAAATTCACACATTGCACAGGACCAAAGGAGGTTTGCAAGCACAGGTGGACTGGGCGGGAGAGACTCAGTCCTGGCCGCCTCAAGGGCGCTCCCGTTCGGGGCTTGGCTCTGTCCCTCGACCACTTCGTGCGGCCACGCGAGCGCGAATGCAGCCCGCGGCTCTTGGGGTGCGGCCGTGTGCTTGGCTGCTGGGGCCGCTGCAGAGGGCAGCGGGGTGGGGACCAGGAGTGGCTGCATGCCGGGGAGCAGAGGCGCTGCTCCAGGCTCCTTGGGGAAGAGCGCCACTTGCCGGGAGCACGGCAGGAGGGCCACCAGCAGGAACTGGGCAGACGCCGCTCCCTTGGGAAAGGGTTCAGGCGCTGTGCTTGGGGCAAACGTGTCTGCTTCCCACGTTGCCTTGGGCATCACGGCTCTTCGTGGGGCCGCGTGTCTGGGAGAACAGATGGCACCTTCCTCGGTAATGCCCAGGCTGCCTGGGAAGGAGCCGTGGTGACCGTGGGCTGTCCTGGTTGCTGCCGCCACCTTTTCCCTGCTGAAGAGATGCTTAACCACTGAGGGAATCATCTGTGTTCTCCCCGTCCTCCCCCTGCCCAGAAAGGGTCTGCTCTAAAAGGCTTGCAGATGGCAGGCCCACTCTCCGCTCACGCTCTGGAACCATCTGGGCCTCCGTTTGGCAAGAAGGGCACCTCGGCCCTCTCCGCCCTGCTGGAGATGGAGGCCAGTCAGAAGTAAGTTGGCGCAGACAGCCCCCCGAGGCTCTGGGGGCGAGGTGAGGCATGGGATGGGATGCCGCTGCCTTTTGTTTGTTTAGCAAGCAGAGGGGCTTCTGCGAGGGCCCGCGTCCTCTGCTTTTCACAGTCTGTGGTCCTGGACTTTGTGGTGCTGTCCTTTCAGGAAAAAGGTCTAATTAATCATGTCTCTTGCAAGTGTATGGCTTTGTGACTGTGTGCCCTTCATGTCATGTCAAATATCTATTCCTCCTATTTTATTTATTTTATTTTATTTCTGTACTGCTCAATAGTGGAAGCTCCCGGAATGGTTGCTTGAGTCCCCAGTGTGGGCCCCCAGAGGATTTTTGGGTGCCATAGGCACCTGTTGGTGGGATTCCTGCCCCCCAGTACACCTTGCCAGTCCCCCAGATGGGTCCTCCAAAGGCCCCCCTTCAGCCTGCAGCCCAGCTCCTGCCTGTCGCGTCCACAGGTGCCGCTCTGTGCTGACTAGGGCCTGGGCAGGTGGGATGTTTCCTCTCTCTGGACGGCAGCCAAGAGGCTGGAAGCCGATCAGCAGCTCCCTCCCCATGGCCCTCTCCCTTCATCAGCGTCAATGCCACTGTCCGTCATGCCGGCCCCTTTGTTCTCAGCCAGGGGCCTCAGCAAGCCCCGCTCACAGCCGAGTGCGATGCTCCGAGCCCACCTCGCGCCTACCTGCTGTCACACCAGGGGGGCAGAGGGAGGGCTAAAGCCTCGGGGAGGGCACAGCGCCCCTCATCGCTCGGCCCTGATTCTGCTCCTCTGCATTAAATTCAGGGCCATTCTCAGGCTTATGGCAGCTTGGCCTCCCAGCGTCAGGCAGTGCTGCTAGAATTCAGGCGAAGGCTTTCGTTAGGACTGAGTGCAGCAGGAGAGAAGAGGCTGCTTTCTGTACTGCTCGTTCCTCTCTGACAAAACTGACCTTGCATAGGCAAAATGGGTTTCTGCGTTTAGCTAGTTTTTTGATCAGCAGAGCTCATATTCCATGTCATGTCCAAGGAACATTGGTTACCATGCAAACGCAGACTTACAAAATTCCTGGTTTTAATTTCTGGCTTTTAGAGTTACTCTAAGTTTACTCTATAGAGTTTAGAGTTACTCTAATGGTAGGCATGTCCCTTTATCTTTTATGTCCAAATCCTAATCAGTTTTCACGTGATTAAAATTTGAATCATTAACACTGAACATTCAACCTAACAACGGAAAACATGTGCAAGCAAAACATACCTCAGTTTTTTCTAAGAGTCATTCAAGTAAGGTCTCTCTGTAAAGATCTTACCAGCATTTCTGACCTTGGAGCAACAAGGAGCAACCCCACCCTGGGCGAAGCCTAGCCGCTCGCTTGGCAAGGGCAGCCGAGGCCTTGGGCTGAGCTGGTGACAAGTGGGTGGGAGGGCCTGGACTGACCTGCTGCCTTCCCTCCCGAGACTGAGAGCTGGCTCTGGATCCCTGTGGCTTTAAATGGTTTCTCAGAAATCACAGATTTTTCAGATTTGCACTCTGTTTTAGCAGCCATGTACCCAAGTGGCCCTCGGGAGCGGTGGCTGGCAGAACCTTTTTTTTAAAGCAAAAAAAGCTTGTTGTGAATGGGGATTTTAGCCGCATTTGAGCAAGATCAGGAATTTGAAGGCACCTGGTACCAACTCTGAACATTGCCCCAGAGAGACCCAAATCGGTCCCCCCCACCTTCCCTTGACAGCCATCAAATAGAAGCTTTTAGAAGAAGCAAATGACGCAGGTGATTTGTGCTCTTGAAAGGAGGGTCTTGTGATTTAGGCGGCTTTCACAGTAAGATCTTCCATGTTTACCTTTATACTTTTCAGGGAGTATAATTTTTTGAGGTTGACCAGAAAGTACAAAAGGGCTTACCGCACCGTTTTTCTGATAGCTAGTTGTCGAAACTCTGGGTGGGTCAAATGCTTTTTGAGAGGGCTCTCTCTGGCCCCCAAAAAGCCCCCTGGGCTTGCATGTATGTATTTCCCCAAGAAGAGAGGATCACAGGCAGAAAGGACACGCAAGTCCCAGCCCCCCACAAGAGAAAAAACAAGCTTCTTGTCACAAAGGGGGTGAACTGTGTACCAGCCCCACTTCACAAGCTGCGGTTGGTCGCACTCGTGGCTTCTCTGGACAGCTTGCCGTTTGACAGCAGTCGGGAGAAACCAGTGGGGGGCAAAACCTATTTGGGTCCTGAACCATGTCCAGGGTTGGCATCTACTGTACCTTGGCAACAAATTACCCCCCCCCCACACACACACACACCCCTTGGGTGACATTGGACCATTTTTATCCTGTATGGTCATTTAGTTCTGTTGACGTCCCAAGGCATCGTGCAGCAGCATCTTTCGTTGTCTGCATCATAAGCTGAGCACGTGAATGCGGGCAGCTTCCTTTCCTCTCCCCTTACTCAGGGCGCACGCTGCTTTTTCCTGGGCTGCAGACGGGACTGTTCTGTTTATCCCACAGCAGGCCAAGAAGGTCGTGAAAAGTGACCACATGTAACTACAAATCCTTCTGCTAGAAGGTCTTGCTAGAATCAGGCTGACTCAGACTCGTGAAAGACTGCATTCTAATATACCATTGGCTTTCCCCTGAAGGTTATAGACCAAAGGAAGCTTTGAGAAAGCTGTGCAAGACCTCGCACCTTGTTTATTAAATCTTTGCAAGGCGGCCAACTGCGCAGGCCGCTGGAAGGGGCTCACCCGCCCCCCAGAGCAACCCCCTCCCTTTGTCTGCCAGGGCGCTCGGCGAGGGGCAGGCAGCCGCGCTCGCTGGGAAGAGTGCTGGCCAGTCCGCAGAGAGCAGCAGTGCGGCCATGACGCCCACGCACTTGGACAGTCCACGCAAGGTAACGACCTCTGGGCTCTCTTTCAGAGAAGGGGGGAGGGCGTGCCACGTGCCCAGCACCGTTCTGCATGTGGCCCAGTCTGCGTGACTCCTGCAGATCCTCTGCAAATGGCTGGAGAATGCAGCATGTGGGAGCGAGCACAGAAATCCGCTTCCTGAAGAGTGGGGAGCGGTGCTTTAGAGAGTCGGCCTGGGACTTGGGCTATCTGGGCCCCGGCCCCACTCAGCCAGGAGGTTCAGTGGGTGGCTTTGGGCCTGCCCCTGGTTCTTAGCCTCTCCTACCTCACAGGGTAGTTGTTGAGGAAAGCACTCGAGGAGAAGAACCGTGCGAGCTGCCTTGTGCTCTTTGCAAGGGAGGCAGGCTGGGGACATGTGTAATGGGATCAGAATACTAACAAGAGCTTCCAAGCCCTCAAGTGAGGGCTGCCCCCCGTGTCCAGGGCTCCGGCCGCGTGTGGAGCCGGGCATGCCTTTGCCTGTGCCGCTGAGCGTGTGCTGGTCAGTGGCTGGTATCTCGCCTCCCTCCAGGTCTCCGCTGACCAGAGCATGCCCAGCACCCTCGAAGGCCCCACGCTGAGCGCCACAGGCCAGTCTGCAGACCGGAGCAGCGCTGCAGCCAGCGCCCAGAACACGGGAGACCCACCCTCCGTCACACCTGGGTCCAGTGAGAGCAGGTGAGGGGGGGCCCCGACAGGCCCCTGCTCCCTGTGGGCAGATGGGAGCCTGTGCCCTTGCGCTGGCCGGACGAGGCACCGCCCGGAGCCCGGGGCCACTGCCGCCCGTCCCAGAGGAGCATCCATGGCCCATGGGCTCTCCTCACATCACCAAGGCTCCTCGCAGCCTTGGAGGGAAAGCTCCCTGCACCATTCCCCCCCCGGGGGGCGGTGGGCTCCCACCTCCTCCAGCAGCACAGCCCCGAGCGGAGGCGGAGCTGCACGCACCTGGAGTGCCCGGCCGGGGAGGGCTGCCCTGCATGCGCCGTGGGTGGGTCAGCAGCTCGCTTCTGCATGTGCTTCCCACCTTTCAGCTCCGCCAGCTCCCTGACCTCCTCGTCCACCCTGACGGAGATCCTCGAGGCCATGAAGCACCCCACGTAAGTGGCCCCGCTGTGCCTCTGGGCAGCTGGAGGTGCCAGTTGCCTTCCAGGACGCCAGCAGCAAACGGGACCTCCTGGGTGCGGTTCAGCACCTCTGCTGGCTGCACGCTCCCTCGAGCTGGGCCATCGTCCTCCCAGGGAGGCTGCAGATTCAGCTGTGCCCCCTCATTTCAGGAGGAGGTTTGGGGGGTGGGGGGCTGCTGGACCCCAGATTAACCTGCCTCTTTTTCCTGCTGGGCTTCAGCACCGGGATCCAGCTGCTCTCGGAACACAAGGGCCTCTCCCCGTGCAGCTTCATCAGCGCTGAGGTGGTTCACTGGCTGGTGAACATGGTAGAAGGCGTGCAGACCCGGGCCATGGCCATGGACATCCTGCAGGTGAGGGGTGCTCTGCCTGGCCTGCCTGCCTCCTGGTCACACAATGCCGTGCCGTGCCGTGCCGTGCGGAACTGGCTTCTTCAGGCGGAAGGTGCCCATGGACACTTGTCTGGCGTTCCTCCCCAGTGGAGGAACTTTCCGGCCTCAGGAGGCTATTCTGTTGGTGCCGCCACCTCTCTTCTCCTTCCCCCTTTCTCTGTCGCCCCAGAAAATGCTGGACGAGCAGCTGATCGTCCACGCCTCTGGAGAGGCCCTGCACACCTTCATCTACGGGTTCTACTTCTACAAAGTGGCCGAAGACAAGGAGCAGGAGCCAGGTAGGCACTGAGCCTGTGCCGAGGCCCCCTGCAGTGCCCGTGCCCTTCCTGTTTATTTCCCACCTGTCTCACTCAAAGGAATTCCAGAGTGGCTCACGTCCTGTCCTGAGACCCAGTAAACTGTCCAAAATGCACATGGCATGAATGCTGCTCTTCCCTGGTGACAAGCCACAGGCAAACGGCGTGCGCAGCACCCCCGCCCAGCCCCTCCCCTCGCGGGGTGGCCCTCCCAGCAGGCCCTGGGCAGACCCGGCCTTGGGGTGAACGCCGCCTCGACGGTCTGCGCACCAGCCTTGCTGGAGGGAGCAGGAGGACGGCCACCAAGCTGCACTCCCCGCCCTCCGGGGGACGCCACGTGTGTGCCAGGGAGCTGCGCTGGAGAACTCCGGCCAGTTGTGCCGCGGGGAGGAAGGGGCCCTTTTGGGCTCAGGCGGCAGATCCGTTTGCCACGTGGGGCACCCTGCCACGCCGGAAGCGTGGCCGACTTCAGCTTGCCATTCCAGAGCAGTCTCTGGGTTGTCTCCACAGTGGGAATACAGCAGCCGGCCATGTGGCATGCGGCCACCAAGGATGATTTCTCCGCCTTCCAGCGGAAATGGTTCGAGGTGGCCTTTGTCACGGAAGAGCGCCTTCACTCGGACATCCCGGCGTTTCTTCTGCCGTGGCTGCCCAGCCGCCCCGCCTCCTATGCGAGCAGGCACAGCTCCTTCAGCCGCAGCTTTGGGGGACGGAGCCAGGCAGCCGCACTGTTAGGTGAGCGTGCCACGGAGAGGGTTGCAGGAGAGGCTGGGGGTCCGGCACAGCCAAGTGTGCCCTTGCCCAAAAAGACGGAGGATGAATCGGCCGTCCCCAGAGGGCCCTGCCTGGTGCGGTCTTGGGGCTTCTGCTGCCCAGCTGTGTGGGGTTGACTGTGCTGTCTGGAAGAGAAAGGCTGCCGCCATCCTGAAGACCCCCTTGCCTCTTCCGGCTTGAAGCCGAATGTCCTGGGGCAGCCAGGCTATCCCCGAGGGCCGTGGATCCCGAGAACGGCAGTCCAGCAGATCTGTGTGGGGATGGTGGCCCCGCACGGTGTCAGCTCTTGAGGAGGAGAACCGTGGCAGGTTGCCTGGGCCCACCTGCAGGCCGTGGTGAAGGAGCCATTTCCAGCGTGGCCCCAGGTGGCCCCAGCAGCTGCCCGCCAGCTCATGGCTGCCACGCAGCCCCCGCCTCCCCGCTCTCCCTCTGAGTCCCCTCCTTACCCTCTGTAGCTGCCACGGTGCCAGAGCAGCGGACGGTGACACTGGATGTGGACATCAACAACCGCACAGACCGCCTGGAGTGGTGCAGCTGCTACTATCATGGGAACTTCTCCCTCAGCGCAGCCTTCGAGATCAAGCTGCACTGGATGGCCGTGACAGCGGCCGTTCTCTTCGAGATGGTGAGATCTGGGAACGGCCACGGCAGAGGCCTCCCTTCCCAGGTTCACTCAGAGAGGCTGGGGGGGCCTCTTGCTGGGTGGGTTTCTCAGCACAGGGGAGATGTTGTCTTCGGAGTGGCGTAGGGTCCCCTCTCCCTGTGGTGGAATTTGGGGCGGATTGAAAGCTTGCTGTGTCACTATGCAGATACTTCCTCCTGCTGGTGTTTTCCACCTGCCTTGGCCTGCTCGCGGTGCCATGCCACAGGCTCTCTGCCCCATCCTTGATGAGAGCCTCTCCCGATTTGCCCGCAGGTTCAGGGTTGGCACCGCAAAGCCACTTCCTGTGGATTCTTGCTGGTGCCTGTCCTGGAGGGCCCCTTTGCGCTGCCCAGTTACCTGTACGGGGACCCGCTTCGAGCCCAGCTGTTCATCCCGCTCAGCATCAGCTGCCTGCTGAAGGAGGGCAGCGAGCACCTCTTTGACGGTAGGTGTGGGCTGCTGCCCCAGCACAGCCCTTCCCGGCCGGGGGGGGGGGGGCAGGCAGCAGCCGTGCCCAGCCAGGGCCTTGCTGGGGTCTTGCGCAGACAAGCCAGACGCCCTGCGTGCATCCTGGCTCACAGAAGCACCGCAGAGACCTCTCTGGGGCTGCCTGTGCAGAGCACGCCTGCCTTGCCGCCTCGTCCCATGGCAGGAATTCTCCAGAGCCTTGCAGGGGGGTGGTGGCTTTGCCCTTGCGCCTCCCCTCCTGTCTCAGCGGCACCCGTGATGCTTCCACCATGGCCATGGCACCTTCCCCCCCTCCCCCCCTTCAGGGCTGTGCATTTAACCCTGAGATTAAAGGGAAGCGTCTGCCGTCTTTCCCCTCTTCCCATGGCAGCATTGTAGAACCATAGAACAGCTGAGGTCAAGCCCAACCCTTTGCTGTTGCAGGACACCGAACTGCACTCTCCCATTCAGAGGACTGTCCAGACGCTTTTTGAGTATCCCCAGTGAGAGCCCCAGACAACAGGTTCCATTCTGGTACTGCTTCGACAGTCGGGAAATTCTTCCTGTCTAGTCTAACTGTGGTTTCTTTTAACTGGAGTCTGTTATTCACTCTGTCTGGAATGGATGAGAAGAGATCTTGACCTTCTTCTTTGTGACAGCCTTTGAGGTGCTTAGAGAGGGATATCTTGTCCTCCTTCTTCAGCCTTTTCTTCCTGAGGCTGAACATGCCCAGTTCCCTCATTCTCTTCTCACAGGAATTTGCCTGCAGTCCCTGAATCACACTTTTTGCCCTCCTCTGCACCCTTTCTAGATTTTTTAAAACCTTGGTGCCCAGCACTGGACACAGGACTCCAGGTGGGATCTGACTAGTGCTGCATAGAGGCAAGCTAGCACTTCCTGTGCTTTGGAAGTGATGCCTCTGTTAATGCAGCCCAAACTAGCATGTGCCCTTTTTGCAGCTGCATCACACTGTTGCATCTGTTCAGCTTGGGATCTACAGCAACCCCAAGATCCTTCTCACTTGCAGTATCGTTCAGCCAAGGGTTCCCCATCTTGTAGCAGTGCATCTGGTTTCTTGTTCCTAAGGATTGGCATTTGTCCCTATCACATTTAATTCAGTTGCTCCCTGCCCAGCATTCTGACCTACCAAGAGCACCCTGCCTCTTGACTCCGGGATGTTTGCGCTTCCACCCAGCTTTGTGTCATCTGCAAATGTAATTATCTTTCCTTGTACGTCCTCATCTAAGTCACTAATAAAACATTTGGAGAGTCTTGGGCCCAGGATGGAACCCTGCGGCTCCCTCTTGCCACCTCCGCAGTCTGAGAAGGTGCCGTTGAGGAGCACTCTTTGCGTCCGATTTTGCAGCCAGCTGTGGATCCACCTAATGGTTGCACTGTCTAGCTGCTTTTTGCTAGTCTGCTGATCAGGACGTGGTGGGACACTCTGCTGAAGGCTTTTCTAAAGACTAGATCGAGTACGTCCACAGTATTCCCACAGTCCATGTGGGAGGTTACCCAATCAAAAAAATGAAATCACATTGGTTGGGCAGGATTTGTGCCATCCATGGTGGCTTCTGCATTGTCTTCAAGATGTTTCCAGACTGAATGTTTTATAATTTGCTTTAGAATTTTTCCAGGGATTGATGTCAGACTAACCGGTCGATAGTTCCCAGATTCATTTTTTCCTTTCTTGTCGGTAGGGGCAACACTAGCCCTTCTCCAGTCATCTGAGAATTCATCTGTCTTCCTTGAATTCTCAAAGATGATAGAGAGCGCCTCGGAGAGTTCTGCTAGCTCTTGTATGACTCTGGGATGAAGTTCATCAGGCCCTGGGGATCTGAACTCATTTAGGCCAATCAGAAGACCCTTGACATTTGTCTGTCAATTCTGGGCTGCCCTCCTGCCCCTTCAGCTTACGCTACACCTTCGCCTGGAGGGGTGTCGTGCTTCTTTTGGGAGAAGCCTGAGCAAAAACAGGAGCTGAGCACTTAGGCCTTTTCTTTGTCATCACTGATCCATCCACACTGAGTAGCCAAGCACCCTTCTCTCTTGTCTGCTCTCTTCTATTTGAAGAAGGCTTCGTCATCGTTTTTAGCTCTGCTGGCTAACCTCACTCAGCCTGCCTGACGTCATCTCCGCAGGTCCTGCTGCTTGCTTATATTCTTCCTTTGTAGCCTGGCCTTCCTTCCACCTCCTATACATGTCCCTTTCTGTTTCAGATTATCTCTTAGCTTTTTGTGGAGCCACATGGGCTTCTCACCAAGTTTCAGTTATGCCTATCAGGTCCTATTTGCCAGCATGTCCTAGGAATTCGGTTTGTTCCCCATGCTTTGGGCAATGGTGCAGGGACATCTCGGGCCACATGAATCGTTCCCTGGCTTATTCCGACACTTTTGGGGAGACTAGTGTCAGGCCCAGCTGGAGTTTCTTTCACTGTTGCAGTACATAAGCGTTTGTCAGTCAGTGCTGCACCCCGATGTACGTCTCCCTCCCGTGTAGAATTCAGTTCAAAGCCTCCCTTTGCAGCGATGTCCAGTGCCGGGAGGCTGCACAGGTGAGGAGTAAAGCTACAGGCTGCCTAGAAGGGAGCACGCGGCCAGCTCTGTGTGCCGCAGGGCTCCAGTGCTTTGTCCCTGGAAGGGCCTGCAGAGGGTGCTGGGCAGAGCAGGTGCCCGAGCGCTGAGCTGCAGGCCGGGGCGGCACACTCACCACCGCTGCCCAGGCACGACAGCCTGGCTTTCTCTCGTGGGTCTCTTGCAGCCTTTGAGCCAGAAACCTACTGGGACCGCATGCATCTCCTCCAGGAGACGATCGCACACAGGTAACGATGTGCTGGCTGTTGGCTTGGCCCCGGCCTCTGTGCCAAGAGACGGTGCTCCAGGGCCGCAGCGGGAGGCCACTGCTTGCAGCGGGTCCTTGGCTCGCTCTGCTGCAGAGAGGAGGAGGACAAGCAGGCAGGGCGGGAACCTGCCGGTGACGTTGGGAGAGTGGGGCTTCGCTGAGTCTTTCCGGCTGCCCATGACCTACACGGCGGGGCAGCTCCCCGACTGGCCAGCCCCGACCCAGGGCACACGGGTGGGGTCTTTGGCGGGGCGATGCGTGGCACCTTTGCCCCATCTAAATGGCCAGATTCCGGGGGGCTGCGTGGGGGCGAGTTCCTGCCCCCCACGCCTCTCCTTGCTCACTCTCTGCCTGCTCCTCTTCAGGTTTGGGTTTGTGCAGGACAATTATTCTGCCTCAGCGTTCAACTTCCCTTCCGAGAACAAGCCTCAGTACATCCATGTCACGGGTGAGCCCCTTTTCTGGTGGGGGACGTCTTCCTTGCACTGGCAAGTCGCTGGGGGGCTGGCGTGGAACCGGGAACAGTCCTCTCACTGCCCTGGATGGCTGGGCAGGGTTACTTGCTTGTGATGGCATCATGGGAGTTGCCCCCCAGGTCACCACTTTTGGGGTGCCCTCCGCAAACTGGGCCCTTTAGATGTGTTGGACCTTAACTTGCCACAGCTGGTGACCATACTGGTTGGGAATGATGGGAATTGCCATCCAAAACATCTGGACAAAACCCTGGAGGGCCACAGCTGCCGGTCAGGCCACTCTGTCAACTGTGTCGGTGGCTTTCTTGCCTCAGTGGGGAGCGGCTGGGCATCTGGCAGCAGCCCTTCCGGCTTTTGCTCTTCAGCAGCAAGGGCAGATCCGAATCATACGTCAGTTGTAGGTTCTCCTACATACTAAACTGTGGGAACTGCAGTGCTACTTTTTCCACATTCAGTTGCATAAAGTATGACAGCAGAACTGCGTGCTGATGAGCATCTTTGCTGGAACTGCTCCTCGCACAGGCAGTGCCAAGGACCGGCTTACGTCAGGCGATCGGGGCGGCAAGGGGGCAGATCGCCTGCTTCGGCACTCCTGTAGCGAGGGGCAGGCATGGCTCCTGTGGATCCAGCACTGTCGGATGCGCTGCGTGGCGCAGTGGGCCGGGAGAGTGGGGCTCTGGCCCCGCTCAGCCATGGAGCTCCCGGGGTACCTCGTTCCCGGCCCACCTCACAGGGTTGTTGTGAGGGCCCTTGCAAGAAGGAAAAGGGTGGGGTATGAATGCGGTGCTGACGATGAAGAGGGCAGTGACGGCAGTGGGGACTGCCCTTCATGATCTCATGTTTGCAGTGGCCTCCACGGCAAGTGGATTGCAGGGCTGAACTGGCGCAGCTGCCTCTCTGCTCGCCCCCTTTCCCGCCATCTTCCACCCTGCCGTTTGCGCTCCAAGGCCTGCAATTATTTCGGGTTAATTTGATTAGCCTTATTGCACGGCAAACCCTGCTGTGCTGGAGGCGACCTCCCCTTGTGGATTGCTGGTGCTGCGGTGAGTCAGCCGGGGCCCCGGGAGACACTGTCAGAGCTGTAGCGTGGCGATGTCAGGAGCTGCCCCTTGCTCAAAATCTGTTCTCTTCACCAGGAACGGTGTTTCTCCAGCTGCCCTACTCCAAGCGGAAGTTCTCCGGGCAGCAGCGACGGCGTCGCAACTCCACCAGCTCCACCAATCAGAATGTCTTCTGTGAAGAGCGCATCGGCTACAGCTGGGCCTACAACACGATGCTGACCAAGACATGGCGGTCCAGCGCGACAGGAGATGAGAAATTTGCCGACCGGCTGCTGAAGGATTTCACAGACTTTTGTGGGAATAAAGACAACCGGCTTGTCTCCTTCTGGACAGGCTGCCTGGAGAAGATGCACGCAAGCGCTCCCTGAGCAGGGCGGCCACCTCAGCTGGGGGGGCCACGCTGGGAAGTGGGGTACAGCAAGCATCTCGGGAGCTCTGCTCTGGCTCTTGGAAATGCGGGTTCCCGGGATGCTGGGGACCAGCCAAGTTGGCAGTTGCTGCAGGTGGAGGCAGACTGACTCCCTGCAGGCCATTCCCGTTGAGTGGCTCACCCGGAGGAAATCCCTGGGAATGATGGTGGGCTCACCAGCATCGCGTTGGGATGCAAGTAACCCGTTGCAGCTTGGCCGGGTGAGCAAAGGTGTTCTGACTCTCCTGCAAAGCTCGTCACATTTTCTGTGTATATGTAAGATACTATGCATATAGATCTGCAATTTACATAGTATGAAAAATGTATGAAATAAAACCGCACATTGTTCTCCTCTTAGTGGCTTTTATTTATCTGCTGTCTGCATTTTGGCATCGTAAAAAAATAACAGCAATGGTTGCCTTACCTTCAGGGTTACTTTTTAAAAAGATGGGCAGTCAGGAAAAAAGACAACAGGAATAGGAAAGCTGGGTTGTTTAAATGCTGGGAAGAGAGAGCCCTTATGGAGGGGAAGGAGGCAAACGGGCAGAGCAGTAACATAGGCACATAGAAACTGAGCGAGTCAGAAGAGGTCTGCCGGGCCATCTAGTCTGACCTCTGGCTCCAGCCGGCTCCGCTCACAACATGCCCACCATGTGCATGTCCAGCCTATCTTTGAACATCCTCACCAATGGGGCCTCAACCACCTCCCGTGGGAGCCCATTCCATACCCTCGGGGTCCTAACTGTCAGGAAGTGCTTCCTGGCATCTAAATGGAACCTTGGCTCCCTGAGCTTTGCTCAGTTGCAGCACATCCTGCCTTCCTCTGCAGGGGAGAACAGGTCTCTACCTATCTCATGAAAGGAAAAAGCGTGGCAGCTGTTCCAAGAGTGGGTGGGTGAGCAGAAAACCATGACGTTCACTGTGAGAGTGCAGGGGGTTTTGCTTGTATACAGGGCTGCCCAATCTATGGAATGCGCTCCCCAGAGAGGTCCGCCTGGCGCCGCCGTCATTTGTTTTTCGGCGCCAGGTGAAGACCTTTCTATTTAAACGTCACTTTAATTGTTAACAATATTTACTTATTTATCTGGTCAGGGCGACTTCTTTTCTTTTATAACTTTTCTAACTTCTTTTATATTGTTTATATTTTTTATTTTATATTACTAATTTTAATTTTATATTGTTATTTTTGTATTGTGTTGTATTTTATTGTGTTGTAAGCCGCCCAGAGGCTTCGGCAAGGGGCGGCATAGAAATGTTATAATAATAATAATAATAATAATAATAATAATAATAATACAGTACGCCTGCTCCGGCTTCAGCCCCGGCCCCCGTGCCCTGCAAACTGTGCTAGTGCAGGCGTGCACAGAGGCAAAGGCTGCCAAATTTAGAAACTTGAATTATGAACTACCCAGAGCGCTTTGGCTATGGAGTAGTAAAAGGGGAGAAAAGGCTATAAAAAGGGGAGAAAAAAGACAACTGTTTTTGGAAGACCCCTTGTAGAAAGACTGAATCTGTATAAATTGATCCTAAGTGTACTAGAAGCAATTCCAATGGGTCGATTGATTGGAAACATGATAGAAATGTTTCTTTACAAATGCCCAAACTGGCTAAGAGAAACATAATCTCCTGGCAGGGAGCAGAAGCAGACAGGGGATCAAGCGATGCCACAGTGGCAGCAGAGGGGCAGCGTAGCTGGCCTCAGGCATTGCCCGCTACCTGCCCCCCCCTCTGCGGTGGCAGCATGCCAGGGGTGCCCAAAGCCAGGGCCTGACGAGGAGACGTCCCTCCCGGAGCACCGGAGCCTCACCCAGCCCGTCAGCGGCGCGGAGCCCGTCTCGGCATCCCCAGCGGGTGTCCGGAGGGAGGCGCGGGGGCAGCCTCTTAGGCCTGGGCAGCTCGAGGGCTCCGGGCGAGTTAGGCCAGCCCTGCAAAGCAGCCCGGCGGCAAAGCATCCTGGCCAGGAGGGCAGCGCCGGCGTCGAAACAGGCAGCCGGGCGGGGGCGAGGAGGCCGGCCGCGCCACGCTGAGAAGCGCGGCCGCGCCGGCCTCCTCGGGAAGCCCCACGGGAGGGACCCTCCTGAGGCGCGCGCGGAGGCCGCCCGGAGCAGGCGGGGAAAGCGGGCCTCTCCGCGGCCTCCGAGCGCCGCCTTCCCGGGTCCGCCCTCTGCACGCAGCCCGCGGCCCCGGCCTCGCTCTTTCGCGGGCGGGCGGGCAGCAGGGGGGCAGCCCCGGGGCCCCAAGGAGGCTGCGGGAGAGCGGCAGCGAGTCAGCCGCCCAGCACGCGCCGCTGCCAAGCAGCCTTGCCTTCCGGAGCCCGGCGAAACTCGCCCGAGGGCGGCACCGCGAAGCCCAGCGGCGTCCCGCGCCAGGGGCACTCCTGGCCCGCTGCGCCCGGCTCGCCCTCGCTTTCGCCCGGGGACTCTCTTCCTCTGCGTCTCCTTGCGGATCTGCTTCTGCCGAAGGCTTTTAGCGCCAAGCCCTTTCCCGCCCCAACACATCGGGAGGGCCGTTCCTTGTTCCTTCTGCAACGTAAATTTCTGACCTTGGGTAGATCTCGCAGCGCCCTTTGCTTCCCGACTCTCATGATCTAACCGGACTTGGCTTGGTTTTGTGAGATTTAAAACTCCATTAGACAGGATTCGGGTAGGTACAAGCCGTTTATTCCATACAAAAAGCGTTTGCAAAGGCTGACTCAACGTCTCAGTAGTCTGGGAGACAAAGAATGATCTTTTACAGCTGACAAGAGATTTCATACATCCTCGCTTCCCCCGCTGCTCAGCTCTACTCTTGTCTCGCCATTGGCTGGCTACTCTGCAGCGTACAATCTTCCGGTGCGCCTTATTTGGTAGAACTGTAGTAACTACAATTTTATGGGTTTTCTGCACTTTCCATCAACAGTTTAAAGTTCCTCCAAAAGCTGTTAGCTCATCTCCTTTGTTCCTGTGAAAGAGTCTGTGGATGTGCCTCGTTCTTTCCCTTATCTCCTGGGTCAGACAGATGACATTTCATGCAAGCTCTGCGCAATTTACATTTTACAAAGATACTATTTACATTTAAGAAGATACTGTTTCTACTTTTACAACGCTGCCACAGCTGTGCCTAGGCAGCTCCTTCCTCCTCCATCAGTTCCTGTGAGAAAGAACAGACATTCATTCACACTTTAAAAGATACAGATTTACACTTCCCACAGTTTCGCAGGCCTGGCGGCCAGGCGGAGCCGTTGGCGCCGCTCGGGTGCAGCGGCCGGGCCCTTTGCCACATGCGCCCGCGCTGCCCGTGGCGGAGGCTGAGGCCGGGGAGTGAGGACGGAGCGCGCCTTTCCTTGCTGCTCCCCTCGGGGATCCCAGCCTGGGCGGGGAGGCCTCCAGCTCGATGGCGGCAGCGGCAAGCGGCGGAGGCGGGGAGCCGTGGCCTTCCACGGGCAAGCCACCCCCCCGCCCCGCCAGGGGCCCTCGCCTCCCTCCGCGCGGCCTCCCACTGCCGCTCCTGCTCCTTCGGAACCGGGACAGCAGCGAGGAGCGTCATGTCCATCATGCCCAACCAGTGCGGCCAATGGAAGGTGTAGTCCAACTCATCTGGGCAGTACCAGTTTTGGCAAGGTTGCCCTTAAAATACGGTAGTCATCAGCTCTGCATGCAAATATTGTGTATTGTGGGAACACTTCTGGCTGACTTGCTTCAAATACTAAGACTGGCATTACCAGTATTCAGCCTTAGTATTTTTGCTTCGTTCTTTGTAAATGCCAGCTGCAGTCCTCAGCTGCATTGTGCAAATACTCTATTTGGTGCCTTGGCTGGGTTGCAGCTCCGTCCAGTGGATGAGGACATGCTCTTTCCCGCCTCATCTGGGGCTTCTGCTGCAGCCCGAGGGAGCGCAGCACACAAATTTTTTACTTCTTTAATTAATTTTTTGAAATTTTAATTAATTTTTAAATGTATTTTAATTTTAATTACTTTTAATGTGCAGTGTGCACAGAAATTCATTCATATTTTTTTCAAACTATAGTCCGGCTGCCACAACAGTCTGAAGGACAGTGAACTGGCCCCCTGTTTAAAAAGTTTGGGGACCCCTGACAGAGGCTCTTTAGAGTTCTGATAAATCCCTTGCCCAAACTCATTTTCCCCTTCAGTTAAAACGAAGGGTGCCCTTCTACACAATCAGAAGCTTGGAGCACATCCGATGAGAGGGTTGCTATTTCCGGTTTCTCCACAGCTGCCATGTACTTGCTCTTCAGCGCTCCTCGGGTCGCATCCGCCATCAGTCAGGCTGGCATCAAGCCGTCCTGATCTGAGTGGGTATATGAGTAATTCACTAGGAAACTGGTCAATCTTTGAGGCAAAATGGAAGAGGATGAATTTAATCCTGGTTTTGTAATGTAATTGGTCTGTTTGCTAAGGGAAGGGTAAGGTCTTTCCCTCTCTTTGGTGTAACTGTTCTTCTAGATAATTTACAAGATTCTGGTATTTTCCTCCACCTGATAGATGTGAAAGGATGATTTGAAACAAGGGAGTAGAAAAATTTAAAAAGATAACGAAGAAAATTACTTAGCCCAAAGGAGGGGAGGGGCTAAAATCAAATAGCGCAAGGTGTGGGGAAACAGGCACGTAGGCAGGAGGGCCAAATACTTCCTGATTGTTTACTGACAAGCTGGGCAGAACAAGATGAGCCTCTTGTAGCCCACCGGGGGCAGGGCTGGACTGGGAAGAAGGGCCAGTGTTGGGGCAGCGCGGAGCAGGCGGGCGGAAAGAGTGTCCCTCTCAGTGCCCTATTAGCCAATTAGGGGAAAGGAGGAGGGAACAAGCGGCCGGGAGCAGGGTTCAAAAGGGTGTGTGAACAGGTGCTCAGGTGAACAGAAGGATGGGAAGGAAACCGTTCCTTTCTGTTCCCTTCTTTGCAATAAAGTTTTAAAAAGAACTCTCTGCATGCCTGGAATATTTTTCTCTTCCGACGGAAAGGAAAGAGTGATCATAACCATGTGGGGGCTCTGTCCGGGAAATCTCCTAAATCCTTGCTCGGCTCGGCGAGTCTCTGTAGGAGGGTACCCTGCCGAGGTTATGGCAGTCCTGCAAGTGACTCTCAGGCCGAAATGTGGGGGATCAGAGGCCCGAGACTAATTGAAAATCTGGCAGCAGAGACTTCTAGAACCACAGGAGGGGGTTCAAAAGGGAGTTTACTCAAACAGGTAGACAAGACCTGATAAAATGCATCTAAGTTCAGGTAAGGAATCTTTATTTCTCACCCGAGGGAAAGGGAATGGGGAGTAAAGTATTCAAGAGAGGGGAGTCAGGCTGGATGGCCCAGGAGGCCCTTCCTGACCCGTTCTGTTTCCATAGGGGTAAAGGGGCCAAGGAAAAATG